ACCATCAATGCTTCTATAGGTAGTAAATCACTTCCTATTTGGGCACATGTGGTAAGAGCAATCCGAATCAAGAATCCACTTCCCGGAGGTATCCTCACCACCCGTGACGACACAACATTCCTTATCGCTCCCTTCCCCTGAAGCGTAGCTCGCCTCTTCCTTGCCTTCTCGTCTTTCAGACTTGTTGTTGTTTTTCTTCCCACCTACTCTCTTATTAGGACAATCGACCTTGAAATGCCTAACTTCACCGCATTTGAAACACGCTCGTCCCGCAAGAGGTCTCGATTTAGATCTAGACTTTCCTCCCTTTCCTTTTCCTCGCTCATTGCATCTTCCTCTGGCAAACAGTCCCTGAGCTTGTTCCTTGTTATCACCAGTAGTCATATCACTAGTTGTACTTTTTCGAAGATCATCCGCTAGGAGCGCCGTTCTAGTCTCATCCATCGACAAACTGTCGCCCATAAGCATCAGTGTTTGAACCAGATTCTCATAAGACTTTGGCAGAGATAGAAGTAGTAGAAGTGTTTGATCCTTGTCTTCCATTGTCACCTCAATGTCCTTCAAATCCGATAAGATCCTATCGAACTTGTTGATGTATTCTCGGATTGATGAACCCTCCTCCATCTTGCAAGTATACAATTTGGATTTTAAATAGATCCGATTCGTTAGACTCTTCGTCATGAAGGTGCTCTCTAACTTTAACCACACGTCCGCAGCCGTTTCCTCCCCGTCCACCAAGAAAGCTACATCCCTTTCAAGGCAAAGGATAATCGACGCCCGTGCTTCCAGATCCAGCTCCTCTCAATCCTCATCAGACATGTCCTTGTGCTTCTTCTCTTTTCCCGCCAAAGCTTTTTGCAATTTCTGCGAAATCAACAAATTTTTCATCTACATCCTCTAATAGGAAAAATTATTTTTTCCATTGAATTTTTCAATCTCGTACTTTCCAACTTTAATTGTTTTACTTGTAGAAGCCATTCTCCGCTTGTATAAATAAATCCGCTTCTCTCAGGAATTTCAACAAATACCTTGTGTTCACCACACAATAATCAACCACCACCTCAGATCAGTAGCTCAACCACCGCCAATCTGAATAAGGGTTCTGATACCAATTATTGGGCGCAGAGTCACGCCCTCACGCCCTCACGCCGCGGAAGCGATATCACCTGAGAGATATTCCTGGCTTTTGTTGTAACAAAAGCACAAGTCAACCTCTATATTCTTGTTTCTCAAAGAAAACTAGAATAAATAGTGAAATTCTTATTTCTCAAAGGAAATAAGAATCGAAAGTGATATATTTCATCAAAGTGAAATATACACTCTTCCTCTTATCAGTTCTATGACTGAAATGTCGAGGGAATCTACAAGCTATGGCAACACACAGTAAAAGACGAGACAACAGATTTACGTGGTTCGGCAAACATGCCTACGTCCACGGGAGAGGGTTTTAACTATGAGGAGAATATCAAACTATTACAAGTTCTCTCTCAACTCACTCTTTCTTTTCTCTCAAAACTCCATTCAAGAGATTTTTCCCCACACAAATAACTCCTCCACCTCTTCTCTATTTATAGGAAACCAAAGAGGGGGGAACCGAAGAGTTGGCGGGCTGAACGGGGCGGGAGAGGAAACTCGCGCGGGAAAAATCCCGCGCTCGTGATCATCGCACGGACCCGAGCACAGCATGGGCGCGGAGCTCGACGTGGGTGCAGGAAACGGCGCGGCACGAAACTCGAGCGAGCAGCAGGACGACAGCACACGAACGCTGTAACCCACGCACCGCCATGTGGGAGCGAACCGCGTTCACAATATGTTCTAGTGAACCCCAAATCTATCAAGAACAAACGTGCACATTATAAGCTCTTTTTGCTTTTAGTGCAGCCAAGAGCTCCAGCTCATCATCTGGATTTACACTTCTACATGGGAAATAGTATGTGTCAAAGAGGAGAGTGTATCTAATTGTCCAATAACCTAGCCAGCTTTAGCAAAAGTTCATAGTTTCAGATATGAAATTCTATTTGATTCTGATATGGGTTTGTAAATCTGGTTATTTATTTATTTTATTATTATTTTATTATTTTTTATAGAAACGGTGGGAGATCCCCCTGCTTTTTATTAAAAAGAAACATATGGATACAAAATATGGCACTCCCCTCACAAAATATCAAAATCATACAAAAGGCCACATGGGAAAAATACTAATAATGAATCTCGGTAGAAGATTGCATAAGCCAAGTGAGGGACTATTCGCTATCGGAGTCACTCTCATGATCGCTCGTCGACTCGTCATGCCGTACAACCTGTCACTCATCGCAGTCATCGTGCACATGACGATGCAAATCGACATGAGCCAATCGAACAATAGCTCCGACCCTTGCCTCCTTTGACACTGAACCTATCCAGAGAGAAAAGTTAGCAATCATGTGAAGAATTTAATGTGATGCTGAACTTGGATTATTTTTACAATTGTTATTTCTTTCATGCCAGACCGCCCAACAAGAGGTTGCTGTAATTATGCGCCATAAAGATAGACTCGACTTTTCATCCTAGCCCTGCTCTAAGCAGACCAAATATCACATAAATATCTAGGCGAAGTACGACCTAATATTTACCTAAAGAACATTCGTGGAAGAACAATGGAGGAACGAATGTTCTACTATTTTAGCATTTGAAAGACATAGGACATATACATTAGGTCCTTGCCACCTACGCTTCATCAGGTTGTCCCATGTCAAGATGGCATTTCTAATAGCGAGCCACAAAAATGCTCTAACTTTCATAGGTGCTCTAGAGGTTCATACCAACTCAGCCGTTGCTAATTTATACCCACAAAAATTAGGAAATCTATACATGGATCTAACCATGAAAGATTTCATGGGCGCCCAGCGCCAAAGCGGCACATCTTGCCTATAATTATTAGGTTTCCAGTCAGCTAGAAGCATAAGTATGTCTTGTTTCTGTTGTCTAATCTGACCTGGCGGTAGGTTGTTAAAATTAGGACACTATCTAGTCCTCCTCCACTAGGAGGCCACGGATGCATTTGGCTCTCTAGCAAAGGAGAAAAGATCGGGGAATAATTGTTGTAGAGTTAACTCATCACACCATCTATCCTTCCAAAATCTAATATGGGTTCCATTATTAAGTGAGAAATTAATTCCCACCTGGAATGCATCCCACACATTAGCAACCCCTTTCCAAAATCCTAAACAGTTTGAAAATTTCTAGGTGTTGGGTTTCACAATCTAGATCTTGAACCATATTTATGTGGCAACAAAGAGGCAATAGCGCCTGAAGGTTGTGCCAAGATTTTCCACCACCAACGTGCAAGCATTGCTTTGTTCATATCCCTAAGGTTTAACACACCAAGGCCTCCCTCTTCCTTCGAGCGACAATCCTGCCCCCGACAAACTAGGTTGTATCCATCCGTGTCCAGTCTATTATGTTTCCAAAGAAACTTGTAATGTTGTCGATTCTTGCCTGAGCCCATTGTGGCATCTCAAAGTAGGAAAGGAAGTATAAACATGTGGCTGATAAAGATGCATTCAATGGAGTAATGCTCCCTCCTAAAGATAGAAGTTTCTCTTCTCACCCTTCAAGTTTTTTCTCAGTCCTTTTGACCATGGGAATCCACCAATCTTGTTTCCTCAGTCTGCTGCCTGGTCTGATGGGAATTCCCAACTATGTTAATGGAAATTCTTTAGGGGACAACCTCAAATTTTCTCTATCAACGTTGCGTTGATATTCCTATCTCCTAAGAATAAAATTGTGCTTTTGTGAAAGTCAACTTTCAGCCCTGACCAAATCTGGCTATTTATTTTGTCTGCTTTAAATGATGACACTCAATACACAAATGTACCAAGACCAATGGAGATGGAAAACAGTAAATTTTCTGAAACTTCTAGAACGGGAAGTGCAAAAGCAGAAGACGTTGAGCAATTACATTCCAACATTAGGCTAGTCTCATTTATTCTGCAGTTTCAAGGTAATTTCCGAGGTGTTGAATTTTTCAATGGCATCCAATAGTGAGCTCCATCTTTTGAGCTGCCCCATCAACCTCTAGGCATATTGTTAATGTATGTCCGTAATAGTCTTCCCTGTAATATGAAGTATCTAATGCCTCTCACCACTAACCATTATATTAATACATCTCCTTCACCGCTAACATTTCGTTACTTTGTTGTTATTACCAAATTCCTTGGTTGGTTGGTTTTAAGTTGTAATGACTTTTTGCAGTTCATTGGTTATTATAGTCAGGTATTGGTATGCTACGTTTCCCTCATATCAGATACTGTTTGACAATATTGTGCCCGTGAAAAAAGAAAAAAAAAGAGCACATTATATTAATATATCTCCACCGCTAACATTCCATTACTTTGTTGTTATTCCCATATTCCTTTGTTGGTTGGTTTTAAGTTGTAATGACTCTTTGCAGTTCATTGGTTATTATAGTCAGATATTGGTATGGCTACGTTTCCCTCATATCAGATACTGTTTGACAATATTGTGCCCGTGAAAAAAAAAAGAAAAAAGAACACAGCATGTGAAAGATTGCCTTGAAGTAAATTAATAGGTGTCAAGATGCTACAGCTATAATAGCAGTGGACTTTGTGTTGTATTCATTCAGAAAAACATGTAGACCGTTGTTTAAACGACACTTCGCATATTCCTTTAGTAGCAAGAATAGAGGGGGGAAATTAGAATCAACTTGTGTTTGTTTGCGATTTGAGTTCTCCAGATCTAAAATGCTTTTCAGGAGAAAATATGTATAGAGCTTTGTTTGGACTACAATCTTCTAAATATTTTGTACAAAATTAGTCCAGGTTTAATTTCGTTATACTACCTCCAGTTTTTGCCAATGTTTCACTTGAATGTATTTGGTTTGGGTAGAACTCTATATATTATTCAAAAAGTAGCATTCTTGCGATATCTGTATGTTGCAAAATACCATGTGAGTCATGTAACTAATATATCTCAACTTTCTGCTCTTGGAGAACATGTAGGTGGAGCGTTGCCCAAGTTTGATGGAATCTGAATGGAGTTAGGTATCAATTTGGTCCCGGGCACGAGAGTAAGTAGTTTATACCTCTCAATCTTTTTCATATTTTGCCTCCAGATTTGATGCGCTTTAACGTTGCGGAGAGGTTTCTTAAAGAGGCAATCAATTGTAGTGTAGAAAAGAACAAAAGCATAGCGAATCGACAAAATATCAAGTTAGTTTCCAGTGTCCAATGTAGTCTCTTGCTTTATATAAAGTCCGTTATTGTTTACATTATCATTGTGCCTAATTTTTGTTTGGAATATCGTTCGTCTTTTTGACTTAGTTATGTCATGCTTCACACTACCCCGCAGTACTATGGAATTGCGTCAGGCTTCGTGATGCTAGCATGACACGTTCGAGGTATCCACTGATAATGGAGAGCTTGCGTCAGGCTTGGTGATGCTAGCGATGACATTCGAGGTGTCCACTGATAGTGGACGAGCTTTTAACTACATTGACTCTCAAGTCTGGGGAGCAATTGCACTTTTGTACAGCATAGAGGATGTTTCCAGCTTTGGCCAAGGATTGTTATCTTATGCAAATGAAGCGAGAAGGGTAAAACTTATCCTTTGGATGCTCAACACGAGCGTATGATCACATAGCCCTTCAGTAGTCATTGTTGCAGTTCGAACCGATCAATTTTGTATCAAAATCAATTGCAAAATCTTCTTTTTAACTGTTATTAGTTCTTGCATTGTTATGCCCATGCATTTTAAGTCTTTACCTGTGCGTGGACAATATATTTATTGGAGTTTTTTCAGGTTTTAGTGAAGTCCCACAGTTTCAACTTGTTAATTGTAGTGATTTGGTTGGATGAGTTGTTTCGTGATGTAGTACTTATCAAGACAAACACTCTATTATTGCACGCTTAGGAGAAAACTTTTTTTTTTTTTGTTGGTCAAACACCCCAAACGTTGTCATATTTTTTTTTTCTACATGGGCATGAATCGATATCCCAAATCCTAGCTGGGCTAAGATCCAGACAGACCCTGGTTGTGGTCCTGACACATAGAATGCCGCTGTACTTAATGAAAACAAAAATATAATAAGGATGTATTTGGAGCTTTAGCTTTGTTACGGGCCTCGGGCCAACATATCGGGCCCATTACTGATGATATTTCAGGTTAAGCGTTCCGTCGTAAGTAAGGAATGGGATTGCATTGGTAGTTGGGCCATGCGCATGATTAAGTATGAGAGTTTGAGATTGTGCTTTGGTGGAGAGACTTGACCGAAGCCAACTATTTGTTATTAAAGCCACATTAAAACGATTTGTATAAGGGCTAACACAATTATCGGAAAGCGCCCCCATTACTTTCAAAATATCAGAAAATCCCATATTAAACTTTTAGATTTTATCAAAAAATCCCTTTAAGATTAACTCCCTTTAAGGTTTTTATCAGAGTGTGAAGGATTTTCTGATAAACTCTCAAAGTTAATTGGGGTTTTCTGATAACCTCTAAATTTGGCGGGATTAGGGGTTCCGATACTTTCAAAGTTAACCGGGGTTTTCTGATAATCATCCATAGCTAAGGGGTTTTTTTGTTGTGTGTGTGTTGTGGGTGGGGGGAAGGATAGTGTTATTTAGGTGTTTGTACAACGCTGCCACGCCCCCACACACTCGCGCGAGCAACACACGCACACCAGAAAACAGCATTATCAATAAATGGGGAAGCACTTCGAGTAGTTCCTCGAGCAAATATTTCTCACCCCCAAAATTAGGAAATAGTAAAAAATATTAGTGCAGGGGATTGAGCGAGGAAACTTTGAGGGAGGAGTTAAATAAAATTCTTAAAGTTCAGGGAACGTTATCTACAATATCCTTAATTTTGAATGGGGTTTGTTAGAGTTGAAATGGGTAAAATGGATTTTTTTTTTTTTTGACCTCGCCTATAATTAAGGAGAGTTTTCTAATGCTATATTTGGGAGTTTATTAATGGAGGAGAAGAGAAAGAATGGAACATGAAAAAATATGAAGGAAAGAAAAGAAAGGGAAGGGAAATATAATAATCATGTGTGAGAGTTTAAGGGTTGTTTGGTTCGTTTCCTAGACATAGAGAAATGCATTTCTATGTACAAAAACATAAGTTTTGAGTTTTCCAAACTTTTCTAAGAAATAGATTGTTTCGCTTCGGTTCGCACAAAAAAATGGTGGAAAATTAATGTATTTATTTTTCTTGTGTTTGGTTCGCATGGAAAAAAATAAAAACTTTTGTTTATATGGCAAAAAGCCGACGTGGCTGCATTTTTCATCGATTTTACGAGGTTGAGGAAGGAATTGGGGAAGAGAAAAAATATGATGTGGTGGTGATTTTCACCGAGTTTCTCTTCTTCAACCCTAGCGAACCAAAGATGGGAAAAAAACCGATGGAAAACTTATATCCTACGTGGCCACGAAAAAACTGATGTGGAGACGGTGTAAAACTTTTCCACCGAGTTAAAAAACGAACCAAACAGCCCCTTAATAGAATGCACCGAGGGAAATCTTTTCTTAGATGTTAGATTTATTTCATGATGGTTCAAAACAGTTTACTTCTACCCCCCAATTTGAAGGGAGCCAACTTTTTTTTTGGGTAACAAGGAAAACCTGGTTAGTCCGCTCAACTTTAACTCCTTTGGAGTCCGCCAGCGGCCCTGGTTCGAATCTCACATCCATCCTACATCTGCAAGGAACTACCAATAATACTAGGTGCTCATCCCTAGCTGATTGGGCGAACAACGTTGGGGGCGGGCGTGAACTGGTGAGCATACAACAGGTTGAGCAAAGTGACCAGTAAAGCCCCCGGATCTCCGTCCCCACCCTTAAACCCAGGGAGACCAGGTGAATTCGGCAACGTGAATCGAAGCCCTGACCACTGTGAAGATCTGAAGTGAGCCAACTTATATCAAATAAAGATTAAGAGATGTAAATTTTATTATTTCGCTTTTCTTCCATTCCCTTTTAAAAAACTCCCAAATAAAATGAACTCATTTTAACTTTGTTGGTCCACCGCTCACTCCTTCTCAAGTCTCATCCAAACAGAGCATAAGGGGTTGTTTGTTTCACCATTTTTTTGGAAAAGGAATAGGATTTGGGTCTGATAATGGTAAAATTGTAAATAAAGGCTTCTTTATGAATCCTATTCTTGAATTTGGTTCCCCAAAATTTTATAGATTTCAGAATCTATAAAGTTGAAAAAATATGCTGATTTTATAGACACCCAAATCCTAATGATTTGGGCGGATTTGTGGCAGAAAGCTGATGCATGTGTACTGTTCTCTCTCTCTCTGTTTTTTTGGATTTCGTTTATTCACAAACCCTATATTATTATAAGACCAAAATCATATTCTCATTTCAAACCAAACTAAAGAATAGGAATTGGGGGGTTTCTTTAGAGTTGAATTCTATTTTTTCATGTTATGAAACAAACATAGAAATAAAAAAAAAAGATTCCATAAAAACATAAAATTATCTTAAAAAATTTTATGGATTAGCTAGGAATCCATAAAAAATATAGGATTCATAATCCTATTCTTGCACACTATTGAACCAAACACCCATTAAAGTTAACCCAAAATAAATAGGAGAAAGGGTAGCTAGGTAATTGTGCAGCGCCTATGGCATTATTCCCTCTGAGACAAGACAGTACGTCCCGCCCTGCTACCGAAGACGTTGTGTTTTGAACCCCAAAAAGAAAACAAAAACATATAACTTTAAAGTTTAAATTAAAAAAAACGCAAAGATCAAGATTATATCAAGACAAATTTATTTAACGCTTAATAAGTGCAAATTATCTGGGGATAGATTCATTTCTGTTCGCCCTTCTGTTTTTCTCCCGAAAACCCTAACCCGTACGTACCTATGTCTCTTGTTCAGCTCGATTTACAGTGTTTTTGAATTTGATCCAGAGATCTAGTTTAGGGTTTTAGTTTGATCTCGATGGGGTTTTTTGAGGGATCTTAGGGTTCTGGGCACCTACATTTGGGATTTCTTTGTTTTCGGTTCCGAGGTTTAGGGTTTTGGGAGTTTTTGCTGTTGTTAAGAAGGAAAAAGAGCGACAATTTTGGGGGGTTTTCTGGGGTTTAAAGCGAAGGAAGGATTTTGATTACTCCTCACTTCTCAATTACATAATTTTGGAGCTTGATCTGTTAGAAACGGAGTTCACCGTTTAGATCCCAGGAAGGGTCCGCATTTTTTGTGATTTTTCTGGAAAACAAAAAGTTGGGTCTTCTCCCCCCTTGGTTTCCGTAAGATTAAGGTCACAATGGATTTCTTCAATGTCAAACGTTTTAGGAAAATTCGCAAGCCGAAATGTGAAGAAGAGGCAGATCAAGAGAAGAATCCCTTGCCCGACGAATCGAAGGGTGAGATTACTACTGATTCGGTGGGGAAGACAGTTACAGAGGAAGAAGAAGCTGATGACGAGGATGATGATGACGATTTCATTACGAATGAGGTGAAGAGGAGGCTGAAGGAGCTGAGGAAGAACAGCTTCATGGGTGAGATCCCTGAAGAGACGTGCCCCGAAGAGGAGGAAGAGGAGGAGGGGGAGACGAGATCAAGTGAATGGAGGGAGACTGAGGTTGAGGATATGTATGCTTGGTGCGGATTCGATACATTGTATAACAAGTATTGTGAGAGGATGCTTTTATTTGATAAGATGAGTGCTCAGCAGTTGAAAGAAACAGGTATAATCTTTCTTCGGAATTGTTTTAGCATTGTTCTTCGAGATTTGACTTATTTTCTTTATGATCTATGGTAGCGTGTAAAATTTGGACTATTAATTTTGAATGTCAACAATAGTTGGATATTGATGCTTGAGTGGCGATGCTGTAACTTCATCCCAATTGGCTGTGGCCATGGCTACATCACAAAGGTCTATTTTGAAATCATTGAACCGGAGCTCCTTTCATGAATCTAAACATGCAATGCTTCGGTTTTATGTAGTTTGAAAGTCTCAACCCAATGGGGTCCTTGAATTGCTTAACCTGTAGGCTTGTCATCAGATGTAGTTTGAAAGTCTCAACCCAATGGGGTCCTTGAATTGCTTAACCTGTAGGCTTGTCATCATGCTGATTGGTAATTTTCCGTCTACCTGTAGGCTTGTCATCATGCTGATTGGTAATTTTCCGTCTCAATTAGCCTTTCATCATTCTTGTTAACATGCATGTTGAGTATGTGAAGTGGAGATTTACCCTAACCAATTCACCTGCTATATGTAATTTACATACAAGCACCTGGAAATGCTTGATATCTTGTAAAAGCCCGTGCATCATTTTTTAATGCATTTATCAGGAAATTTTGTTTCTGTTTTTCCCACTTCAGGTTCGAATTGTTTCTGCTTGTCACTCTTAGACAGCAAAATTCTTGGATTCAGGTTGTAATTTTATTTTATTAGCTTTCAACCAGTTAAATTTCAGCTTATTCTTAAACAATTGTTAGTATAATAATATCGCCTATTTTATTAGCTTTCAACCAGTTAAATTTCAGCTTATTCTTAAACAATTGTTAGTATAATAATATCGCCTAATTTGATTACATTGTGCAACAATTGTTAGTATAATAATATCGCCTAATTTGATTACATTGTGCACCATTGTTAAATCTAACTGATGCGATCGTCCCAAGTATCTCAAGTTCCCAACTTCTGCTTGGTATTACCTGAGTTTATTTCAACTCATGTAATTTAATCTAATCAATAAGGTGGTCAGAAGTTGGACTTGATTTCACTGCGCCAGTAATTATAATATAATCAATGTGAGGGTCCTAAACTATCCAAACTACATCGCATTTATTTTCATTGCACTGAGCCAAACCTGAAGCCGCCCATTTGGCTAACCTGATGCAATTCAATAAATACTTCTACGTGCGCTTTAAAGGTATTAATGTCTTCAAGGGCTAATTACATACAAGAAGAATGAACCCAAAACGTCTGCGTGTCCTTTTCCTGATTGGTTGCACCAGTTATTTTCTGCTCATGTACTGGAGCACTCTGTGGTAGAATATTTTCTAAATCCGCTAGTTATCAAAATGGAAAAATCTCTCATATCTGGGTTTGAATCATAGTTTAAAAAGTTCTGCATTTCAGAGAGATGCTCCTTCTATTTAAAATTGTGTTTTATACTTCACTTTTCTTTGTTGCTACTATCCTAGGCTGTATTATTGTTGTGTGCAGGATCATGGAATGTTTCAAATCATTCACCAAGATCAACTACAAAGAAGTTGGCTTTGACCCTTCGGAACCTCTCATTCAAGAAGCGAGATGAACACCATGAAGACTGTGAACAGCTACAGCAGTCACAGGAGGAAGACCCTTACCATAATCTTGAAACTGCTTATGTGGCACAAGTTTGTCTGTCTTGGGAAGCTCTTCACTGCCAGTACATGCAACTAAGCCATAAAATCTCCGCCCAACCTGAGGATCCCTCAGATTACTGCCATGCTGCTCAGGCCTTTCAGCAATTCCAGGTTCTGTTGCAGAGATTCATCGAGAATGAGCCTTTTGAGCAGGGACCAAGGGTGGAGACTTTTGCCCGGGCTCGGTTTTCTCTTCGAATGTTACTTCAAGTTCCCAATTTCCAAGGTAACCTCCAAGACACAGGGGCCTTCTTTAACTTCGTTACGCATAGAAATACTTACATATCTGAGGAGACATGCTTATCTCACCCATCCTGAAAAATCCCAGTACTGATTCCAGGGGTCCATCTTCTCTGAGATTGTTTTTGCTGCCAATACTACATTTCAACTTTATCGTTTTGCTTCATTTTTGCTTGTTTTCTACTGGGTTATGGAATCAGTATATAGTGTTCTTTAGCTCATCAGAAACAGCTCTAACTGATTAAAATTAGCTACCTTTCTTGATAAATGGACTTGACCTTGAGGGTCTACTTCAATCAACACATGACATGCTGTTGTAAGTTGTAACTTAAAGAGTGTATTCTAGCCTGTAGGAAAACGATCAAATGCATCTTGGTTTACAAAGTTACACCTATTACAATATGATCCAGGCATTTGCACATAGATTCATGATATATGCAATTTAAACAATTGTCTATATAACTTGGATCTTTTTGAAAGATCCCAGGTTCGTTTCCCTGTACCTTTTTTCCCATTCTTTTTGTTCTTTACTTATCAACCCAAAGTTTCATCTCTTTTATTTCGAAACCTACCTACTTAAAAAAGATTCTTTTTTAATGTTTTATTTTATTAATAAACCCAAAAGATTCTTTTTTAATGTTTTATTTTATTAATAGACCCAAATTTACCCATATATTTTGAAACCCACCTGCTTAAAATTTTTAATGCTAGACCCTTATTTTTTTCCTATTTTGTAATTAATCCCTCAAATCATGAAATTGCTATTGGCTAGGCTATGTAGCACGGACACGGATCCGACACGGCCATCCGACACGCCGACACGAGGCAAATCCTAAAAAATACATAGGATACGTGTGTTCGACGCGTGTGTCCGACACGGACACGACACGACACGGCTTCATGTTATGCGTGTCCGTGCTTCATAGTGGCTAGGTCCTGCAATTCTTAACTTATTCAGAAGTTGGCCCCTCAAATCATTGAAATTGCTATTAGGTCCCTTAATTTCTTAAGTTATTTTGTAATTGTTCCCTATAACGAAGGGTAGAAACAATAACTAGAGAGATTAATTTGAAAAAGATTACTAGACTTAGGAGACCTAAATAACAATTTCAATGCTTTAAGGGCCCTCTAAAAAACGATAGAAGCAACAATGATTGCACGGCCCTCTAATAAAGAGATTAATTTGAAAAAGATTATAAGAATTAGGGGACCTAATAACAATTTCAATGATTTAAGGGACTAATTTTGAACTAACTTCAGAAATTGAGGGAATAGTTTCAATGATTTAAAAGACTAATTTCAAACCAACTTTAGAAATTGAGAGACCGATAGCAATTTCAGTGATTTGAGGGAATAGTTTCTAAACAATGAAAGATTTAAGTTACTTATATTGAAAAAAACCTTAAAGAAGATTTTACTACCTATGCACCCAAAGTTCTATTCCCTTTTTTAGCCATAAACCCAAAGATTTATCCCATTTATTTTTGAACCTGCCAATTTCTTTCCAAAAGATTTTTTGCCTACTTAACTAAAAGTTTTACCCACATCTACATTTAAACTCACCCACTTTGAAAATCACTCTTAGATCAGAGTACTTCATCGAATTATTTTTAAACTCATTTTTATTTTAACAGTTTAGTATGCATTGTAAGGTGATATAGTGTTCTTTTCACTTTTTTTTTTGGTTCTATGTCTTAGGTGTACAATGTAACCAAATATTCTAACCATTATATTTTGGCTTTTTCACGCTAATGTTGCGGCATTGCGAACTGCAGATATGTGTTTTTGTCGATAAATCCAAAGGTTTACCTTCTTATATTTTAAACTCGCTTACTTTTCAAAAAGGAGTTTTACACCATTTACTTTAAGATCCAACAATTTACTAAATCATCTTAGATCCGAAGTACTCCAAATAATTAATTTTGCACCCACTTTGTATTAGCACTTTGCTATTGTGTAAGTTGTTATATTTAATTTTAACTTGCTTTTTTTTTTGGGTTCAAAATAGTAAGGTTGATAGTGTATTTTTAAGCCAAATGCTTGAACTATTATTTTTTGGCATTTTTCACACAGATGCCACGGCATTGCACAGGTCAATTATGCTTGTATTATCTGAATGTTTCTTCTATAGTGTTACTGCATGCACTGTGTTTTAATTTGAATGCATTTAGGCACTGTGCCCTCAGTTTCTGGTGTTTAGGCTTGAGCTCATTGAGCTGCCGCATAAACAATAAGGTAGAGATACAGGCAAAAGATAACTGGTTTCGGTGGGTATTGTGGGAATCTCTGTTCGGCCTTTTCCAGGACAGTTCTGACTCATGAACAGTTGATTGTTTTGGTAAAACATTGGTAAGATCTTCTCATGGATAATTCTAAATTGTGTTGGAAACCATTGCTGACACCTATTTTATAAAAAACATAGATTAGAGTTGAGAAGCACCTGTAGAAGTGGTCCCTAATTCTTGGGCATTGTGATGAGGTTGAATTTGATAGAGGAAGAAGAAGAGGAACAGAGGAAGAAGATAAAGAGAAGAACTAGAGGATAAGCAAACAATAATTCTCATTCATACCATCATCTCCATTACAACAACTATATATAACGACACTAATATTATCTCTACCCACTAACACCACTCTTCTCTCTACAGCTACCCACAAAACATAACTATCCACTAAGTAAAACACAAGTTACACAACTACCCACTTATCCACGTTGTGCACCCCCCCCCCCCCTTAAGGATCCTTGTCCACAAGGATAGTGAATGGAAATTGCTTCTTGACTCTCAGGTTCTTGTTGAACATTGTTATCTTCATCGTGGCTTGAATACGGTGAATCTTCGATCATGAATAGTTGTGGATGTTTACAGTGATAACTCGGAATGAACTACTCATCACAATAGTAACATAAATCATTCTCTCGACGGTGTCGTGCCTCTTGGTTGGTGAGTTGATGGAATGCTGTTGGAGTAGTATTTGAACTTGCATTCACACTCTGGGCGGGTGGAGAACCTAATACACCAGCTGTTGGGTTGGGGATGGTCGCCTTTGGTGCCACAGAAGCTGGTTGGGAGCGAAATGATTGACTCGGTTGCTTGTATAATTGATTTCGTTCCTCGATTAGTCGAGCGACTCCTATTGCATTTGCCAAGGTCTTGGGCTGCTTAATTTTTACATCGAGGCGAATGTCATCACGAAGTCCTGCAATAAAACAACCAATGAGAAAATTTTCGGATAGGCCGTCAACGCGATGAGAAAGCTTTTCAAAAGCTTAAGCTGCAACGGTTGAGTCTACGGGTCTTCGTAGTCTGTTGGACCAAAATAGAGAAGGACAGTTTTGGTGAATTCATCCCATGTAAGTGGTCCGCGAAATTTCGTCAACCATCGGTACCATTGTAGGGCGATGTCGTCAAGATGGAAGGACGCTAGCGGAACTCGTTGGTCAGAGGTAATATTTTTGAAATCAAAATATTGTTATGTTTTGTAGATCCTGTTTTGTAGATCCAGCCAGTTGGGTCCTCACCCTTGAACCTTGGAAAGGGCAATTTGAGGTGTTGGTGACGGTGGTCATTATTGGTGGTAGAACGAGCAGCCTGTGGCAAATGTGAGGATTCTCCTGGAGCAAATGAGTTAGTTTCAAGATTATTAGTATGTGGGCTCTGGACGGTTTGTAGATCTTGAAGTTCTGTTAACACCATTTGGAGTGTAGCATTAATTTGATCAAAGTTGGACTCATGTCGTGTTAAGATTTTATTAACCTCATTGCGAAATTCGGCATTCGTTTTGCCGTGAGTGTCCATGGTCGAAACTTGGCTCTGATACCAATGATGAGGTTGAATTTGATAGAGGAAGAAGAAGAGGAACAGAGGAAGAAGATAAAGAGAAGAACTAGAGGATAAGCAAACAATAATTCTCATTCATACCATCATCTCCATTACAACTACTATATATAACTACACTAATATTATCTCTACCCACTAACACCACTCTTCTCTCTACAGCTACCCACAAAACATAACTATCCACTAAGGAAAACACAAGTTACACAACTACCCACTTATCCACGTTGTGAATAGTGGTGGCACGTATCACATTGGTTGCACTTATGCATTGGCAAAATGAGTTCTAGTGCAGTTGTTTAGCTTAGTCTCCGATATGGGTTGAAAAGTTTAGCATTCATGGTCCAGAGTTGGGCTTCGCCAATAATATCTACTTCAACAGACTTCATTTGTGGAGTCATTTAAACAAAAGAAATCTTAGGGAAATTATAGTTTAGGTGTCCTTTTTTTGGGGTGGGGTGGGGGTGGGGTTGGTGTAAAGGTTCCTTTCAGTAGTGGTCAAATAAAAAAAAAGGCATTTTCATTTTAGGAATTGAACTAGATTGTTACGCTATTCATGTTAATGTCTTCTGTTACCCAGGTTTGGACCATAATGAAAATGCTAGAGACACTTTGGATGCACCAGTCTTGGCATCTGACCTCCTAAACATCATGGAGGAGTCAATCTTAACTTTCCGGCTTTTCTTGAAATTGGACAAGAAGAAGTCAAGCCATGCTATGAATTTATTCAAAGGTCATAGCCAAGATGCAAGCTCCCTTCACCAGGTTCAGGCCTCCCTCGACAAGGTACTCTCAAGTGAAACACATTTTTTGTTTCAAAAAGTATCTGATATTTGATGTTATTGAGGACACGAGTCTCAACTTGGGCATGTCTAGGATTCAGAATCACTTACAAATCTTCATACAAGAAGTGAGATTGAAAGTAACTTCTCTTTTCTGTAGTCTGCTCAATGTAATTGGTTGTTGAAAGATAATTCTGATAATTTACTGCAAACTAAAAACTCAGTAACAATCCAATATTTCTTTTCCAACAATTTAGAGCTTATTAATTTTGGGTGTATATGACTGACATGCTTTGCTTAAGTGCCACAACGAGCCAGCTAACTGGTGTTTCTCATTTCGATGAATCTCTTAAAAATTCACGCAGAAGGAGATCAAAGTAAAAGAACTCTCCAAGAAAAAATCATGGAAGAAGAAATCCTGGCCTTCCTTCCCATCAGAAGTAGAGCTGCTCTTAGGGCTAATCGACATTAAAGTTGTATCCAGGGTTCTAAGGATGGTGAGGATCAGCAAAGAACAGTTGCTTTGGTGCGAAGAGAAGATGAGCAAGATTGATTTATCTGAGAACAAGTTGCGACGCAATGCATCCCCAATCCTATTCCCTTGTTGACTGCTATTGATGGTGGCTAGTATAGTATCATCTTTTAGATGATGTAGACCAATGGGGTTTTTTTTTTTCAATCTTTTTCTGTTTGTAAATTATGAAAACCTTGGATCCCTATTGGAGGCATGTTATGGCTGTGGATTCTGTTGTTCCATCCCTTTTTCTCTACTTCTTTCTATTGAATGGTGCTGGAGTCTTTGTTAGGGTTCTACTATTATTGATGTGTTAACCCGAAGTTTAATACGGAATCCAAGGTTAAATGAGGGGATTGAAGATTAAACTAGTTACATGGTGAGATCTATGCATCATGTGAATTTGCACGTGGTTCGGATGATGCTGAAATCTGCAGGCTTTAGTAGATTCAGTTTTTGTAAATCACGATTCAGTTTTGTAAATCACGATTCAGTTGAGTGGATCGAGATTCACTGGGTGAATCTACACGATTCAGTTGAGTGAATCGCGATTCACTGGGTGAATCGACTCGATTCAGTTTTGTAAATCACGATTCACTGTGTGAATCTACTCGATTCAGTTAGGAAAGTGAGGGTTTTAAATTTTTACTGTATTTCTTTGATCTTGTTAGAATAATTGAAGGTTCTTTTATATTGTAAGAGGTTTTATATCATTGAATCTGGATTCAATTTGCTGAAGTTTGATACATTTTGTTGAATCTGGATTCAATTTACTAAATCTCAATAAATTTGGTTGAATACACTATATTGAATCGAGATTCAATCAAATGAATGTGGATGCAATACAGTGAACCTCGATTCACTATATAGATTAAATGGAATGGATTGAGATTCACTCAAGTGAATCGCTATTTAGTGGACTGATACGAAATTCATTACAGCAAATCGCTCGGTCGACCGGACCGGTCGACCGCCACCTGTTTTTCCTGATTCTGCTGCTGATGCTGAAATTCCTTCACAACCCTATTGCATTGCCTCTCAAACAAAAATAGTTAGGGGGAATGAATAGGATTGAAGATGGATTTTTACATGAAATTACCAATTTTGGGGATATAATTTTCCATTTTTTATTATGAGCAAGTCACATGAAAATTTCAGGGGAATATCCTAACGCTCAACAGTAATATTGCAATATTTAATTAATAGAAAATGGTAATGTGGTACTGAATATCAAATAATTTCATTAACTGTACTATAGTTTCAACTATGTTGCACTTATATACCCTCAATAATTTTTGATAGATCTTATATATCTCAAGTTTTTAAGCACTTGCATTTATATATCCTAACTTGTTTTGATAGCACTTACATACCCTAGGTGTCATTTAACAAAGGACTAAAGGAGAAGGGTTAAGAGAAAGGATAACTTAGTTCAACTCTTTATGAGATGTTAAAAATAATTAATTCCTTTTGCATTTGATAGTTAAGGTGAAGAGTTAAGTTTTTTGTGTTTGGCAAAAAAAGAATGGTTAAGAAGGTTAGTTGTCATAACTGTTCTAAAGTATTTTTTTTTTAAGTTTTATTTCTTATTTCTAGAAGGAATAAATCTTAACTCTCCTCTTTAGACGGGGTTGCTAGCCCCTCAAAATGAGGGGTCACCTAACTTTAACCCTTGTAATTAAAGAGTTTGCTAGCCTTTTGTTTAAATTAACCCGCTTAGATGGTTAAGGAGGAGTCAAATACCCTTAACCTTTCTCTTAATCCCCGACCAAACAAGGCTGGGAATATTGGATCATTTTATTTGTCTCATTATTATGACTTTTTTGTTTAATTAAGTTTTATTGCTTGGTGCAAATTAAATGAGTAACTGTTTAGTAGCAAAATGTTTAATAATAAGTGGCTTTTAAGATATGAATTTTAGAAGTATAAATTTAAAAGATCGGTTATTTGTTTACTTATTTAGTTATTTATTGATTTTTTTGGGTATTTAGTGGATATTATTTGTTTTTTGTTCTTTGGTTTTTTGCTAAAAATCAGCAAAAAACTCTTAATTTTGGATAACCATCAAATAACTCCTCATTGCTTCCAAAATATCAGAACTCCCCATGCCCTTCCAGTTTAGGGGTTATCGATAAACCCCTTTAACTTTAAGATTTTTTCGAAAAAACCTCATCAAAAGCGTGATCTATAATTTTAACTGGCAAAAATGTCCTCATGTCTACTTTTACCCACCCATGTGAAAATAACGGCTAGTTAATATTGTTTTGAGAGTTTTCTAACAAAATCTTAAAGTTAAAAAGGTTTTCTGATAACATCTAAACTTAAAGGTATTTTATTATTTTGAAAGATACAAGGGTTATCTGATAATCGTCCAAAGTTGAGGAAGGTCAACTGGGCGTATACTACAACTTATCATATCAAATTAAAGAAACTCCTTATCTCTAAGTACTCAGCGTGTTCTCCCACAAAATACTCCACCGTTACCACCTTTTAATGTATTTAATTATTTATAATAAATATTATAAATGATACATAACTTATCAGAGTCTTATGCTAGTCTACTAGATCAAACTGAAATACCTTTGAATAATTGATGAGTCCACATGCACCATCATGTTTTTGTGATAATTTAGTAATTTTCGACACTTAGAATATTCATTGTTGTTTGATACACATTTGTACGTCTAGATCTATAATCTCTTATTATATATTGTGATGACTCACCTTCTCTTATTATATATTGTGGTAACTTATCAAGCCATTATACAAACACTTTTCTATTGGATCATTTTGGAGTAGAATTCTAACTCCAAATTAAAACCATTTTGACTCTCTTCTAAGTCAAATGTTTGTCAAGTAAACTGACAAGTATTCTACATGGAGTAATCGCAAAAATGGTTGTTTTTTTTTTGACGGTTTATTCAAAAACTCTAGTTTTCGTATAAGTTGAAAAAGATTTTTCAGTGTTCTTTCTTTTTTTTTTCTCCCTAAGTCATATGTTGTTGGGTCCTTTTGTTTTGATGATGATTAACAAATAATTTACAACTAATATTGTTTGTCTAGTGTTTGTGTTTTGTATTTATTCTAGGCAAACAATATGTTGGAGGATGGATGGAATTAAGCTTTCACGATCATATCCAATGGAGGTTGGCTGAATAGTGGAGTGAAGCAATACAATTCAAGTTGAAGATCCAAGTGCAAGCTTCATCCGCAAGTTTACCAAGTTGAGCTTATTGAAGACCTTCATCAAGCTTAGGTAATTTAGTTTAGGTTTTATATTATGTGTGTTAAGTACTCTAAGCTCAATATAATATATACACACATTTTATTGGTTTCTTTGTATATATATATAGTTATATATATTGTAGGCTGTCTAAAAAAATTACATTAGATAGTTCACCCCTATCAAACTTCAACTGACAGTTTTGACTAAGGAGGTTACAATCAGACGACTTTCTTGTTACCAAAGGAAAGCTGCAATCAAAGGATTCCCCTATGGATCAAGAAGAGATTACAATGCAATGATTCCTTCAAACCAAGAAGCAGAATTCGTCCTTGCAATCGAAACACAAGTAATTTCCAACGTCAACGCAATCACTACATCCGTGGCTCTACAGTCGCTGCAAACGCAGCTCTATATCGCTGCAAACACAGCCTCATATTTGAGATGATTGATCTTCATGGCTACGACAACAACATGACTAATATTATATTAGCAACTATTAGAGGTGCTGATGAGCAGTGTAATGATTTCAGAAATAAAAGGTTAAACTTAGTTGGTGAGTTGCTTGGTAGAGAGCTGTGGGCAAATATTCGACATGCTGAGAAGCGCATGGTTAAAGCCATGCAAAGAGATCTTAGTAGAGATCGTGACCTGCAGTTGATAGAGCGTTATTAAGATGCATCAATTGTCACAAATGGCCTAAATAGGGCCTTCTCGACTGGTCATTAGTGTCATCCATATATAAAGACAAAGAGGGCATCCGTAGCTTCATCCGCTGCAAACGCAGCTTCATCCGCTGCAAACGCAGCTTCATATCACTGCAAACGCAGCTCTACAGCCGCTACAAACACAGCTTCATATCACTACAAACGCAGCTTCATCCGCTGCAAACACAGCTTCATATTACTGCAAACGCAGTTTCATATCACTGCATACGTAGCTTCATCCGCTGCAAAACACAGCTTCATATCACTGCAAACGCAGCTCTACAGTCGCTGCAAACGCAGCTCTATATCGCTGCAAACGCAGCTCTATATCGCTGCAAACGCAGCTTCATATCGCTGCAAACGCGACTCCAGACACTGCGTTTAGACGCAGGATCATATCCAGAACGCAAGTCAAGACGTTGACTCATTCAAATGCGATCCATACGGTTTCGAGAAAACCACTGTTCACCCATGATCTGGGGAGTGGTTTAAGTGGGTTGTTATACCCGATTAATAGGGTGACTAAACCCTCATATAGGCACGGATTATGGGGGCAGTTACACCTCTAATTCTCCTATAAATATCAACAAACTCAACAGAGTTCAGGATCGAATCAAGGAGGTCAAATCCGAGAGAGGAGAGAATCTGAAGGCAACAATCTTCAACAAGTGAAGATTTCCAGATATTTGATACTTGGCTTATTAACTGAATTATTTCGGTTCAAATAACTCTTTTTCTTATTAGAGTTTGTCACTCGTTCTGAGTTACAACACTCGTGGAGAGTTCTTGATCAGTTCAACCATACAAGTCATTTGTTCTAGTGAATTGAGACATTCGGATCGTCAACGGAGAGCAAATTCGACGCGAGCATTCGAAGGAAGCACTCTATCGCCACCGTGAAGGACTCAGATTTAAACAAAGGAGAGAATTCAGATCAATTCTCTTCTCTTTTGTAATCAGGAAATCCAATTGTAATTGAGATTAAAGGAATACAAATCAAATTTTTCCTTCGTTTCTTTTACTGTAAATTTTTCCACAAACATATATATATATATATAATAATTTTTGGTTTCTATGTATATATAGTTATATATATACATACATGTTTTGGGTTTTCATGTTTATAAATAAAAAATTACATGTTTCATATTTATTATTGGTTTTTGGTTTTCATGTTTATATAAATATGAATTTGTGAAAATATTAGTAATTTGTTTATAGACTTCATAACAATAGTTTACATCTTTCTTTAAGTCTATAAAATCATTTTATAAAGTTTCAAAACTTGGTTTATGTCAAAACATCAAAATTCAAGTATATCATGTTTTCATGTTTTGGATATTTTTGTAAAATGATAAGTTTTCACA